CCTATTAATAGTAGATTTGTTGCTGATCCAAAACACCCACTCACACATGAAAACAAAGACCACCACAGCCAGCTACAAACGAATAACCACACCCTAGGCCAGGGGTCAGCAACCCGCGGCTCCGGAGCCACATGTGGCTCTTTTACACCTTTGCCGCGACTCCGGGGCGGATACTAGCGAGGGGAGGAGGCGCATTGTGCACCCCGACACACCCCACTGTGATGGGTGCTGTACTGGCTGTGACGTCGCATGGGGGCGGTGTGTGCGTTAGTCACGCACCGTCCCGACGTCACCTTCCCGCACCCTATCAGATCGCGGCTCCGGAGATATATTTGTTTTAAATGTCGTAATGGTTTTGCGGCTCCCAGTTTTTTTTCCTTCGGAAACGGGTCTAAGTGGCTCTTTTTGTCTTAAAGGTTGCAGACCCCTGCCCTAGGCCAACCCCAACCTCTCTTACCACCAAAGGAACACAAGCGAACAGCAAAGAACCTGCACAAACAACGCTGACACCAAACCCTACGTATAGGAAGTAAAATAGAAAAATCGCCACCCGACCCCACCCCCACCCATCTCCCCCCACACCTCTTTCCCCTTTTCTTCCTAATGCAGGGGTCTGCAACCTTTAAGACAAAAAGAGCCACTTGGACCGAAGGAAAAAAAACTGGGAGCCGCAAAACCATTGTGACATTTAAAACAGTGGGGAGTGTTGGGGCACACAATGCGCCTCCTCCCCTCGCTAGTTTCAGCCCCGGAGCCGCGGCAAAGGTGTAAAAGAGCCACATGCGGCTCCAGAGCCGCGGGTTGCTGACCCCTGCCCTAGGCGCTGAGGCTTTTACCCACAGCGCCACCCGCGTCCCTTACGTCCCACTAAATTCACTGGATTTCTGCACTTAAATCCTTAGGCCTCTTATGCATAGAGACAGGAAAAGATATAAGATTCAATTGTCTGGGATGGAATTTCCTGGTTCTTTTTTCTGCTGTTTCTTCCTCACCATCTACCTTGGTGGGGCAGAAGTGAGAACAATGGAAAACAATGTCGCAGTTCATGGCTTTAGGCTGCCTGACATTGACCAGTCCATCCAGAAATAAAAGATAGCAGCAAAAAAGGGAACCTAAGCTCTTCCTAATTTACATCTTACTTCATTGGAAGAAAGGTTTGAGGATGGTTGGTTCTTTGCTTTTTGAGGTTGTTCAGCTTCTATAAATTGCCATGTTGCCAAAGCCATACTATTATTCCCATACTGTATATTGCAAGTGTTAACAGCTCAAACTTCAAATGGCAGGTTGGAGACAAGGCCAAGTTTGGCTTGGATTACAAAATTCCTTGGAGGCTTCAATAATCTCTCAACTAAATGTCATTTGGAAATTTCCTGAAGCAAGCTCCTTAACCTTAATTTGGTTTCTTGGAGTCAGTCTGGTTAATAGCTCACATGATCAGGATGTTATACTTATACAAGCCCCTCCAAATACTGTACTAAGATTCCCAATTCCAGAATTCTATATTGTGGTTAAACTGTCCTCAAAGCAAATAAGCATTCAGTTGTGTATTAAAATAAAAAGGGAAACGACACATTTCAAATAGCGGTATACCTTTAAAAATGTTACATCTTCTACCTGGTCAATCTTTTGACAAAAGTTGATGTTTTGAAAAAATGGGCTCTTCAATAAAGCAATTAGTTACAAAGCTCTCAAAACCAGGAGCTACACTGAAGAACTGTAGTCTACAGACTGTAAGCTCTAAAATAAAAACAGAAAATTCTCAAACTCTTGTGAAGGTGTAGCTACAGATGCTGTTCCTTATTAGTTGTTCTTTTCAGTCTACAACTGCAGGTTCTCGGGAGTTGTGTCAATGAATTATCAGACTCCTTTTCAGATTATTTGGAAGAAATCTTTCAATGTTTGTTTCACTTCATATATATAGTAGGTTCATTTTAATTGTTCAAAAATCTTAGACAAACTTTGTTTTGTTTTCAAATTCAGACATTTACTGTATTAAACCACTCCTTAGAACTTTTAAGGTTCAAAGCACAAACTACTGATTTGACAAATATCTGTGAGATAAGCTATTGTTGTTTTTAACGTAACTGTAATAAGAACAGCTTGCAGAGAGGAGGCCGGTAATAATTTAATATAAAGATAGCAGTTTCACATTTTGTGTTTTTCATTCCCCCGCCCCCCTGCAAGGCACCTGTTTTGGAAAGTTGAACTTAGCAGTTTTGGGGAGAGGAGTGCAAGTAGCTAGCCATGCCTAGGGCACAAAATAGCCTGGCACCAGCACAAGGCCAACAAACACAAAAAGGATAAACATCAATGGGGTACACGCCAGCTGGGTAACCCTAGCTTCTACTGAGAGCTCCTCACCCAAGCCGAGAAGGGTGCCACAGGGTTCTGTCTTGGGCCCGGTCTTATTCAACACCTTTATCAACGACTTGGATGATGGACTCAAGGGCATCCTGATCAAATTTGCAGATGACACCAAACTGGGAGGGGTGGCTAACACCCCAGAGGACAGGATCACACTTCAAAACGACCTTGACAGATTAGAGAACTGGGCCAAAACAAACAAGATGAACTTTAACAGGGAGAAATGTAAAGTATTGCACTTGGGCAAAAAAAATGAGAGGCACAAATACAAGATGGGGGACACCTGGCTTGAGAGCAGTACATGTGAAAAGGATCTAGGAGTCTTGTTTGACCACAAACTTGACATGAGCCAACAGTGTGACGCGGCAGCTAAAAAAGCCAATGCAATTCTGGGCTGCATCAATAGGAGTATAACATCTAGATCAAGGGAAGTAATAGTGCCCCTGTATTCTGCTCTGGTCAGACCTCACCTGGAGTACTGTGTCCAGTTCTGGGCACCACAGTTCAAGAAGGACACTGACAAACGAACGTGTCCAGAGGAGGGCAGCCAAAATGGTCAAAGGCCTGGAAACGATGCCTTATGAGGAACGGCTAAGGGAGCTGGGCATGTTTAGCCTGGAGAAGAGGAGGTTAAGGGGTGATATGATAGCCATGTTCAAATATATAAAAGGATGTCATATAGAGGAGGGAGAAAGGTTGTTTTCTGCTGCTCCAGAGAAGCAGACACGGAGCAATGGATCCAAACTACAAGAAAGAAGATTCCACCTAAACATTAGGAAGAACTTCCTGACAGTAAGAGCTGTTTGACAGTGGAATTTGCTGCCAAGGAGTGTGGTGGAGTCTCCTTCTTTGGAGGTCTTTCAGCAGAGGCTTGACAACCATATGTCAGGAGTGCTCTGGTGGTGTTTCCTGCTTAGCAGGCGGTTGGACTCGATGGCCCTTGTGGTCTATTCCAACTCTATGATTCTGTGATTCCTGTGCTCTTCTGTGCAAGATGTTGATCTTTGTGACCTTGAGGCACATGCCAGAGGCACTGACGACAGAGAAGTAGTTGCTTGACCGAGGGGGAGAGGACAGCAGAACAGCGGGCTCCTTCAGCTCCTCCCAAACACACTCCCACCATCCAATTATACATTCACGTTCCAGAGATTGCATCTGCAGGTTCAGGTGACTCAAATCTATGTACAGTATTGACACACACAGGGGACAGAAAATAGTTTAAAGATTCTGTCCCGCAACGAGTCTGACTGAGCAATATATCGACCATATTGCCGCTTTGGTTTCATAATATTTGACCTGCCAATAGATTGCGAATCATGAAGTGTGTGTGTTTTGTACAAAAATCGCGACGTGGGAAAAACTGTGAAGCCAGCCAATGCCTCTACATAGCTCCATCCTTATTTCAGATATTGCCATATATCAATATATTCCAATATTTAGCAGTTTGTTACTCCCTGTTGCAGGGAGTAACCTGTATGATGGTATGTTTGGGGCTTTCCTCCATCTCCCCTTCGCAGGATTCCTCTGGAATGCCAAAATCTCCTGCATGGCTTTTTTTTTTATTACCCAAATACTCTAATGCAAGGAGTTGCAGTGACAATGCAGTGAGATTCTACTCAGAGTAAGCCTATTGGAATGAATGGGTTTGAATAAGTTGTGTCCTTTAGTTTTTGCTTTTTATCTGGATAATACCTAATTAGGGATAGGGATTGGTTTGCTTTCTTTCTGTTCTGGTTTTTATTAAGTATTTTGTTGTGTTATTGTTGTTGTTGAAATTCCACAAATTGCACATCAGGATTCGTTACATAGTAAGTCCCCCCTTTTCTATTATCAGCTTCCCATCCCATTTCCTAAGATGTTTTTTTTCTTTTCCAACCTTAGCTGCAACTTATCTTCCCTCTTTTATATCAGAACACTAATGCTCTATTAGAATTAAAAGAGGGGGAAACCCAGCCGGATGGGCGGGGTCTAACTAAATTATTATTATTATTGTTGTTTTGTTTTTGTGTGTGTGTTTTTATCTTGTATAAAAGATTAAAACACACAAAAAAACAGAGTTGAAGCAAGAAGGCATCTTCAAATATTAAATAAATGCAAGCAGTGAATTGCCAGGACGCCCCCTGGTGATGAATTCACTCTTTCCACCCACCCCCTTTCAAAAATGTGCATGGAATGAATGAGCTGGCATTCAAATCTATTCTTTTACAAGCATATTTTCTTTTATTATTGGGTCCATTCGGACAAATATTGGGTCCATTCTCTCACTTCTGACCCTTCTTGATCCCCTCATTCCTGGGGGTTAGACAAGATGACCCATGGGGTCCCTTCCAACTCTTCCGTTCTACAATTCTCTTGCCTACAATTCCGACACCTGCTTCAGGTGAACCTGAACAAGCAACACTGACGCCAGCCAAACCCTACGTATAGTAAGTGAAATAGAATAATCCCCACCCGACCCCAACCCCACCCATCTTTCCCCCCCTCCACCTCTTCCCCCTTTTCTTCCTAATGTCTCAACAAATGAAAATGATTTGTAAAAATGTTACATGGGGAAAAATACATGAGAGAGAGAGACATTGCACACTTTTTTAAATCAACAAAATCTTTAATAAATAAATAAATACTAGTCATAAAAAAGAGGCCTCCTCACCTGAAGGACATCAAAGCCCATCTGAAGTCCCAAAACAAAACTATCAGATCCTGATCCACGCAGATCCATCCGTGTATGGAACGATCTGCCTGGATCTGGATCTGATAGTTTACCACTCCCTGTTGTAGGGAATCACATATATAATTGTATGTTTGGGAACATCAGGTGGGCTTTGATGTCCTTCAGGTGAGGTTTGGGGTGTGTGGCTTTCCTCCATCTCCTCTTCGCAGGATTCCTCTGGAATGACAAAATCTTCCGCACGGCTTTCCTCCATCTCATCTGTGTATTTCTCTTCAATTACGAGATCCAGCAGAGAACCACACTTTCCACAAGTAGTTAGACTCTCGCTTTTTGCTGCGCTTCTTGGGGTAATCAGCCTTACGGTTGCTATTTGACATTTATCTGTTGCGGTGGTCTTGACGCAAAATTTCTCAATCCCAACCAATGCTGCACTCAGCAGCTGGAAACCTGCAGCGATATAGCCTAGGTAAATAGAAGGTCCAATATGCTGCTCGCTGGGAATTTGAGGCAATTCAAAATCTTCTGGGAAGACAATTTTCCCATTATGTAAGACGGCAGACGTGTTCCATACCACAGAAATCAGGACGAGTATCCCTGCAACTAAGTTCAGGAAAGCTGCAAGCCTAAAAAAGGTTAACACAAAATTCTTATGTTTTCTGGGCTCGAACACATTATACAAGGCAAATGAAATCAATCCAAGGGCCGCTGAATTCATAATGGAAGCTAATGCCATTAAGTCCTGTGCAATAAAAATTTCCCTTGGGAGGCTTGGATGCTGCTCATTGAGATCTTCGCAATGCCAAAAAGAGTTTCCGTCGTTAGAAGGGTCTTTCCAAAAGCAGACCTGCCAGATTCCAATCCAGATGTTTCCAGAGCCGATTCCCTTGATGTTTTCCACACTCCACACTCGCCAGTTGACAACGGCTGTTGACGCAATGCACATAATCCAGGCCACAATATCTATCAGGAATGAACACAACTGGAGCCCGGACACTAATCTCAGCCACCTGACCACCAGGGAGCCTTCTTTCACCTGCATGGGGGGTTTGGAGAGGAGGGGACCAGGGGAGACCTTGGCAGACATCCTGGAAACAAAAGAGAAGACAAGATGCAGTGAGAGAGGGAATAACAAGCATGTCTAGTCATTGAAGGACATCCTCCCTCCTGCATTCTTCCTTCTATGCACAGAAAGAAGTAGCAAAAGAAAAAGTTCCTGCTCTCTCCCACCCAGTGGCGTAGCGTGGGTTGTCAGCACCCGGGGGCAAGGCAAGTAATTTGCGCCCCCTAACCCGTGGATTTGCGCCCCCTAACCCTAACCCCCAGATGTTGCGCCCGGCCCCCCCTGCACCCCCCACGCTACGCCACTGGAGGGACTCCCAAGAAGGTGAAGCGGGACTTCACCCCAGGGTATCTCGGAAGCCCTCGAGGCAGCGACGCTTCCACCCCCTGGAAACAGCAGGAAGGTGCCCCGCTCTTGTGCCCCGGTCCTGCTTTGAGTGCTTCTCATTGACGCGTCTGCTTGGCCACTCACTCTACATGGGCCCTTGTGGCCTTGATCCAGTAGCCGGGTCCTTCTTTGGAAAGAGCGAGCGCCTCCCTCCGCCCCCGCCACACGGAGCTCAGCCTGCACGTGGGCATGGCGCGCTGCTCTCTCCAGCTTCCTCCCGGCCGGGCCAGCGGCTCCACCTCTTTTCCTTTGCCTTTGAGCCGCTTAATTCCCAGCAAGCAATTAGCAGGCTCGCTCCACCTCCTCCTCCTCCCGGCTTTGCTGCTGCTGCTGCGAGGCTCTTTTCCTCCACCGACGGCGCGCTGCGCCTTGGAGAGGTTCCCGCTTCCTCGAGGGGGGCCGGCCAAACGCGCCCCAAAAATGTTGCGCCCGGTGCGGCCGGCACCCCTGGCACCCCCCACGCTACGCCACTGCTCCCACCCCCTGGTTCTCTGATCCAGAGAAGCCGACACTCAGACTTTCTTCCAGCAAACTGCCACTGATTTAATATACTCTTGCACTGTTCCTGTGAAAATGGCCAGAACCTCAGCAACCTGTTGTGGATGGGAGCAGCTCATGATTTGCTGTTCTGCTATCTGCTACTGAAGCTATCCTTTTCCACCGATCATAAACACACCTGATGGCATAGTGAGGAATGTTTAATCCATAAACTTACGTGAAATGCCTTCCTCAGCTAGAGTCTAGTGTGGCAGGAACAGAGCAGGTGTTTGCTAGGTGCTCCTGAGCCTCAAGAAGACTGAGTGAGCTATCGGCCACTGAGCTGACGTTCGCCTGAGCAGCCAGTCAGCCACAGCAACTGCTCTGCAGAATTCTTTGGTCAGTTACAGTTACAGTTAGAATCCTGACAACACCACAAATCATAACTCCAAGGTACTGGTCATTTGGAACATCAGGAAAGTGGAAAATGGGAGGGAACTCAGCTCCTTTCTTTCCCAATACAGAGTGTCTTTTCCAGGACACTGCGCAGTTAAAACGTGTTCTTCCTGAAGTCAGATTCAGAGCAGTTCCAGCATTAAAAATGGTGATACAGTATGTGCATCTCAGTACAGATTTGTTTGATGGGCCTGAATGCATTTCATAAAGGATCTCCATGGACAAGAAATGCTAATAGCATGAGCCATAAGAATTTCCTTGGCAAAATTATTGAAGGCTCCTTACAAACCTCTCATTCTTCTTCCCCATCCCATCTTGTTTGGACATTATAGTAAGGGAGAAGATCTTAGCTCTTTTCCTTTGCACTGGGACCACACGGAATTTGTGCCATGGGACCCCATCCCTCACACCAATACAGGCAATACCATTTTCAGAACCTAGGTGTCCATGATTTAAAAGACACTTCCGTCAAAATATTTGTGTTGCTTTATTTCTGTTCCTTTCTGTGTTGATGCTCCGAATGTGAGCTGCTCAGCTGCATGCAGTGTCCACCGAAGTGTGTGTGTGATTAACATTTGGCCAAGCAATGGGCCTAAATCCATCTATTTCACCTGAAATAACTTTGGGAGCCAGCCTTTAAAAATCTAAAGTATATATCAAATTCAGAGGAATTAAAAGGTGGCATCTTTTTGACTATTTTAAACATCTTAGAACATACACAAATGTTAATGTTTGAAGGAAGGAAGCAAATGGAGCATTGAAGCCATCCATTCATTTCAGGAGTTGTGACCATTGATAAGATGAAGCACTTTCACATCGCATGGCAGTGTCCAGTGCTTTTAAAAAGGTAAATGTAAAGGACCCCTGACAGTTAAGTCCAGTCACGGCTCTGGGGTTGCGCCACTCATTGGCTTTACTGGCCGAGGGAGCTGACATTGGTCTGCAGACAGTTTTTCCAGGTCATGTGGCCAGCAAGACTAAGCCACTTCTGGAAAAACCAGAGCAGCGCACAGAAACGCCGTTTACCGTCCCTCCAGAACAGTACCTATTTATCTACTTGCACTTTGACGTGGTTTGGAACTGCTAGGTTGGCAGGAGCTGGGACCGAGCAACGGGAGCTCACCCCATCAAAGACGCAAGTCCAGTTCTGTATCTGCATGACATCCTCCACACCCAAATGCTCTCCCGTTCTGTTTCCCCCACTTAATCAGGATACACCATCTCCATTGAAAACTCTGCTCAGTGACACCCATCCAATAGAAAAGTGCTGACCGTCTTCCTGCAGATACATTTCCGCGCAGGGGTTTGGCCGACAACTTCTTCCCGAGTGTGGGGATGTTTTCAGGGGCTCTTTGCTTTTCCCTGCCTCCCCTTTCATCCTCGCCTGAGGAGATCTTGGCCATTCTCTTGACAGGGACCTCCCTTCTCAGGCCAGATTTCTGTTTTCCTTCATTCCTCCTTCTCCCGGTCTGGTTCACTGAGCAAATTAAGAGAGAGGAGGTTGCATGCAAGTCAAAGGTGTGCAATGGATCTTCAGGGCATTTGGGAGGAATAAAAGGTTCAGGAACAAGCGACGCAGCAGCCCCCCAAGTGTAAAAACACATTTGGACACATCGCTCATGAGATTTGCGCCCCCCCCCTAGGATATAAATGCAGAACATCCTGCGCTCCTATTAATATAAAAAGTGGGGTATTTCATATGATAAGAACAGAGGAAGTTGCCTTATATGGAGCCAGACCAATTTTGGGAAAGTGCTACATGGGCCAGTCCACCAATTGGCTACCAATGAGAACATAGCAAAACACAAAATGGCTGCCATATGGTGTGGTATGAAATAAATTTGCCTGGCTGTGGGGCGTGAAGGCCGCACCCTGCTAGACCCTTTCCACGTGGCCTAGTCCCAGATTCGCTAGCCCCACAAAAGAGGCTCCTCATGAGGCCAGAAGAACATGGCCTGGCTGTGGGGCATGATTTGAAACCTCCAGTCCCAGTCCAGTGCTCTAACCACTAAACCACACTGCCCCCCATTGCAGTCTATAACAGCCTGGAGGGCCACAGATGCCCCATATTCTCTGGCTCTGAGATTGCCCAAAGTTTCCTTTCTATCCCTTGTTGTGCAAAAAGAAAAATGCCCATGACAAAATGTGACATTTTTGGTTCTTTGGAGACAGTTCTGCTGCGCTCTCTCTCTCTCTCTCTCTCTCTCTCTCTCTCTCTCTCTCCATTTAAAGGAGCCTCATCCCTTTTCCCACCCAACTTCCTCCTGCACCCCCCCCCCCGCTTCAAGATTTTCATGAAAAACTAACTAACCAACCCATGATTGGAATTTACGAGATTAAGGAGATAATTTATTTTTATATAAGGAAAATAGATGGGAGGATAAATTAATTGCGCAAGGCAAGAATATATCGGATGGCAAATATCAAAATCTACTTATCAAAATCATAACAAAGATTATGATTTGGGTTCTTAAAATAACACCAACACATGCCTGCCCAGTGGATTTCAGAACAAATATGCCTCCGAGAACTACCATTCACAGAGTTCCCTAGGAAGTTGTGGGGATCTCTTTCGAGAGGCAATGGAGTGCACCTCTGGGGGTGAAATCAAAGGTTTTCAGCAGGCGCTAGAAGGAAAAACGAAGGAGATGCCTGCAAGAAGCCAAGTTACGGGGAACCAAGCATAGGCCTTCTGGGTGGTGGCGCCTTCTTCATGGTGATCCACTACTGCTTTAAGGGAGGTCTGGGAATAAGTAGATTTGTTGCTGATCCAAAACACCCACCCACCCACCCCACTCACACATGAAAACGAAGACCACCACAGCCGACTACAAATGAATAACCACACCCTAGGCCAACCCCAACCTCTCTCACCACCAAAGGAACACAAGCGAACAGCAAAGAACCTGCACAAACAACGCTGACACTAAACCCTACATATAGGAAGTAAAATAGAAAAATTGCCACCCGACCCCTCCCCCACCCATCTTCCCCCCTCCACCTCTTTCCCCTTTTCTTCCTAATGTCTCAACAAATGAAAATGATTTGTAAAAGTGTTACATGGGGGGGGCATGAGAGAGAGACATTGCACACTTTTGTAAATCAACAAAATCTTAAATAAATAAATACTAGTTTTGGGGAGAGGAGTGCGAGTAGCTAGCCATGCCTAGGGCACAAAATAGCCTGGCACCAGCACAAGGCCAACAAACACAAAAAGGAAAAACATCAATGGGCTACACGCCAGCTGGGTAACCCTAGCTTCCACTGAGAGCTCCACACCCAAGCCGAGAAGGGCTCCTGTGCTCTTCTGTGCAATGCGAAGTGCAAGATGTTGGTCTTTGTGACCTTGAGGCACATGCCAGAGGCACTGACGACAGAGAAGTAGCTGGTGAGTAGTTGCTTGACCGAGGGGGGGAGGACAGCAGAACAGCGGGCTCCTTCAGCTCCTCCCAAACACACTCCCACCATCCAATTATACATTCACGTTCCAGAGATTGCATCTGCAGGTTCAGGTGACTCAAATCTATGTACAGTATTGACACGCACAGGGGACAGAAAATAGTTTCGAGATTCTGTCCCGCAACGAGTCGGACTGAGCAATATATCGACCATATCACCACTTTGGTTTCATAATATTTGACCTGCCAATAGATTGTGAATCATGAAGTGTGTGAGTGTTTTGTACAAAAATCACAACGTGGGAAAAACTGTGAAGCCAGCCAATGCCTCTACATAGCTCCATCCTTATTTCAGATATTGCCATAAATCAATATATTCCAATATTTAGCAGTTTGCTACTCCCTGTTGCAGGGAGTAACCTGTATGATGGTGTGTTTGGGGTTTTCCTCCATCTCCCTTCGCAGGATTCCTCTGGAATGATAAAATCTTCCGCATGGCTTTCCTCCATCTCATTTGCGGAGGATTTCTCTTCAATTACCAGATCCAGCAGAGAACCACACTTTGAACAAGTAGTTAGACTCTCGCTTTTTACCGCGCTCTTGGGGTAATCAGCCTTACAGTTGCTATTTGACATTTATCTGTTGCGGTGGTCTTGGCGCAAAATCTCTCTGTCCCTACAGAACCTAGAGAAAATTTATCTCCGAAGGTGTTACAGAATTACAGGGGGGGGGCACATCTTTAAAGTTGTTAAATGTTACAAACATTATGCCTGAACCTATCCTTTCAACTTGACAGCTCAGGGAAGATACCAAGCTTTTTGAATCCTATAAAATCAACCCTTTTGCCAAGTTCCTCCATTCCAGCACCATTTTACCCTTGGGAAAAAGACTCTTTCCCCTTCCACCTCCCCAAGCTTGAAGACATGGGTACACACCTCCTGCCCCAGGAAATGCCCAGAGGTGACAATTGCTGGGCTCCTTGTTCTCCAAGGGAAGGCAAATCTCATCCCCAGACTTGCCTCCGGCTCCAGAGATGCCAAGGAAGTTCTGTTGTACTTTGGGTGGTGGGTACTTAAGACATGTTTGCCTATGATGCTAAGCTTATACTGTACTTGGGTGTTGCCCTGACATAGCTGTCTATGCTAATCTTGTGTAACCCTCCCCTTTTGTGACATGTTAGTGATGTGG